AGTATACAAATATTAAAGTAGCAAATTCCATTACTACATACAAGAATAGTTCATAATTGCATAAGTCCAAGACAAAAATAAAAATAGTAATTAAGTTCAAGACATGATTTTGCAAACTAATGTCAACAAATAAGACATACAAAAAATAGAATGAGACAAAATAGAATGAGACTAAGTTAAAATCATTATCTTTACATGTTCATCAAATAACACTCAATTTAAATTCATCAGTTTCATTAAGATGACGGAAGACATATGACAAAAATTGTTTGTGTAAATGTTTATACTAAAAAATGTCATATTTAGAAAAACTTTAATTTTGACATGCTTGTTTGGAGAACATCAGAAATGTAGTACTACCTCTGTCCCCCCTTATATTGAGATGAAAGGAAGTAGTGTGGTTTTCAAGAAGAGGAGAATTATGTGGTTGATAATGAGTTAATAAAGTAGGAATAAAGTAAGAATGAATTAAAGCCACACAAATATTACCAAATGCGGTATGGGACAATAATAGGGGAACATCCAAAATGGGAAAATGGACAATTATAGGGGACAGAAGGAGTAGTATTTTAAGTTTTAGTCTTTTAGGATGCTAGTTTTAACCGTCATGCAATTAATTTTAGTATTTAATAACTGTGTTTTAACAATACAAAAACATGGGGTTACATAGATTGATGGAGTATATGGGTCTAGGCCCCAGGACCCACATACTCAGATGAACAGAAAGCACAAAGACACTACGCGGTGCCCTCGTCGGCCGAAGGATCCTCGTCGGCCGAAGAGGGGCCGACTCAGAATATGACCCTGGAGCCAGAGAACCAGGGTGCCCTCATCGGCCGTGCCCTCGTCGGCCAGACCCTCGTCGGCCACGAAGGACTCGCAGAACTAGATTTTACACTTATTCATTTATATAGCCCATCAGTTACTTTGTATTCAGCCCAATAGCGGTCCAGTTGTAAATGGGTCTCCCAAGCCCAAGGCTTGGGAGCCCAGCCCGTATTTTTCCTATAAATACTTCCTCGATCTGGAGGTAGTTATAGGGGTTACAAAAAATCATTCTATTGAAGCATTACTTGCACTTCTCTCTCTAGCTCTCACCTCTCTCTAGATATATACTCTATAATAGATGAGCTTTTCTTTTTTGCTTTTAAACTACTATTGTTGATCTTCTATGCATTTAATGCGTTCATTTAATTGATCAATTCATGTTTTTTTATAAAATACGGGATGCTAGCTTTAGCCGCCATGCAATTAATTTTAGTGTTTAATAACGGTATTGTAACAATACAAAAACACGTGCTCATAAAGAGGATATTTTATTTTTTGCTTTTACACTATTGTTGATCTCCTATTCATTTAATGTGTTCATTCAATTGATCAATTCATATTTCTATTTTTAGTAAAATATGGGAAAATACGTTTTATACGGGAAGTAAGAGTTTTTTTCCTTTTGAAACGGATCGACATTATTTTTCGTTTTAAACGTGTTTTTTTGTTCCAAAAAATGGTACGTGTTTAAAACGCGTCTAAAACGGGAAAAAGCTAACTAGACCTAAAATCCGAATCTGAGATGAAGGATCTTACGAAAACTCGATTTTGTCTAGGTTTCAAATAGAACACCGAGTTCATGGAGTATTACTCCACCAATCTGTGTATGTCCAAAGGATGCTCAGACAATTAATATAAATAAAGCACATCTTGCTAGCACTCCCTTGACTTGTTGATGTTTGGATTGAAAGATTTGTTTCGTTCAGGGGAATTAATTGAAGATGATAAAAAGTATTGGGAGCTGAAATCCCTAAATTGCAATAGGCGTAATATTCTACTTAGCACAATGCTCTCGAACAGATATAACATTCTTAGTGAACTTGTTAGCTACATATAGTTGCGCGCTAACGCATCATCACTGAAATGGTATAAAAAATTATTTCCTGGTACCTAAAGGCAATTAGTGATTTGGAGATTTTATTTCCCTATAGGAAGACAAAGGAAACAACAAATGGAGTTTTTGTTTCAAAAGATAATACCAAATACAAAATGATTATCCATCATATAAAACCTACAAATGATGTCGTGATAGGTTTTGCTGATGTTGGATCTTACCCACACAAAGGTTGTTTTCAAAGTGGTTACATTCTCACAATTTGGGATACGATAATATCTTGGAGCTAGATCAACTCAACAAGTCTTTATGGCTATCTCATCAAACTACTAAGATATCACTGCTCTACACGAGGAATTCCAGGAGTGTATATGTTTTAAAGGCTACCATTACGCATATTCGAGATACTGGTGGTTTGAAATCTACCATTGAAGGGTGTAGTTACATATATTAAGATAATTAATCTTGCATAGAGCACATAAAGTTGGGATATATTAAGGGTGAGAACACAAAACAGACATCTCCCAACTTCTTCAACAATCAGCAACAATAGGCCTTTGGCAAATAAGCTCTGAAGAAAATGTAATAGACTTATTTACGAAGTCATTTCCAAAGACCACATTTGAAAAACATTTGTAGAATATAGGATTGCAAAAGTGTTCTGAACTCTCTTGATTAATGTAAATATTGGGGGCATTAGACTGGGGGGTTACCACTATAATGTTATACTCCTCTCCCTCCATTAAAACTTATTTTTTTACATGGATTTTGTTTGTTGGTAAGGTTTTTAATCAAGTAATGATATGATTAGACAAAGTATGGATCAAATAAAGAAAGACTCATGAACAAAGTGTAACACCGTTTTCATATAGTTATGCACTTTCCGTTCATTCTATCAAGGTTATTTTTTAACGTCCACAAAATTTTTGTTACTTGAACAAGCTCTTACAAGATAACTTGGTGAGCAACACTTTATCTACAACTCAACATAATGAGGGGCTGCTCAGAGAAATTTCATGTAGTGTTCTATCATTATAGATATAACACGTACAAGGGTAAAATATGAATTGAGTTAATAGGTTCATTAGGCCACTATAGTAAAATCCTAACTCTCCCTATTTAAAGGGAGTTTACCTGATGGAATGGTATGAATTTCCCTTCAACACTTCCCTAAAATACATCAATATATGCATCGCTCATTGCATAAAAGCGTTGCCCGTTTTATTACAAAGCTTAATAATATGAGATACATTTCTTTAAACAAAACCATTGCAAATAAGTTTTTGTAAACAAAAGAGATATTTTCAAATAAGAGTAAAATATAACATAATTCCTTTGATAGGGGCATTATTGTTTTATTTACAAAATAACACTTATTGGCTCATACTTTGGGAATCTTTTATTACTTTATTCTTTTAATTGTCTTATACACATCCAATTCGTGGAGGAAAATATGTTTAGAACTTTTTAAGAACATTATCCATGCATGTTTAATGTTGTATTCTTATTATGATCAATTTCTTACAAAAAAATGGCCCCTTGGCCCCTTATTGTATGTGTGTTTACATTTAAAACATAATCAATGAAAGGGTGGCAGTTATTATCTACCACACGGCCACACCTCATGCACTTCATTCATGACTTTTAAGCAGTGTTCTAAAAGGCGGCAAAAGGCATGAGGCGTCGGAGAAACGCCCCGCATTGTAGAAAGGCGTGGAAAAGGCGGTCATCTCAAGAGTTGACCACCAAAGGCGTGAAAAGGCGTAAGCCTAGGCGTGCTTAGGCGTGAAAAGGCGGAGGTGTTTTAGATAAAATATTTTTTGCAAGGAAAAAGTTAATTAAATTTAAAAATAAAATACTTTTATAAACATGTTATATATGAAATCTAATAATGAGTAGTATAAAACAACAATATATCATTTTGAATTTGCACTTTTGATACATTTAAAAATTATATACTCCGTAGGTTGAACAAAATAAAATTTAGGCTCAATCTTGTATAATATATTTTTGACATTTATTTTCTTTTGCACATATCTATCTATATAATAGTAATTATCATCAATAGAAATCTAAAACGCCTTTTCACGTCTAGGCTTCGCTTATTCCCGCCTAGGCTTCAAAGGTTTGAGGTTTGACCTCGACGCCTTGCCATGTCTCACGCTTTTTAGAACACTGCTTTTAAATGATGATAATTTAAATAATAACCATCTTTAATTTTTTAATCAAGTTAAAATTTGACCACTTGCACTATATATTTATATGAGGGAATTTGACTTTGCACCTCACTTTTTGGGTGATATTAGACTTTGCACCCCATTTTGAAATAACTTTGATTTTGCACCCCAACACATAACATTTTGTGAAGAAAAAATCTTGAATGGTTGCAAAGTCAAAGGATTTTTAAGTGGAATGGGGTGCAAAGTCAAAGTTTATTAAAAATGAGATGCAAAGTCCAATAAAGTGGGGGGAAATGGTCAAATAAGGCCTTCTACTATTATGAAATCGTTACATAAGATCATGTACTCAATAAAGTGTCATATAATACGTCTACTTTTAAAAAGCAATCGGATGACTCAAAATGACCCGTTGACATTATCTTAATCTTGATTTTAGCTTACGTGTCATTATTTTTGTCTTGTATTTAAGCCAATCCTGGCCAAATATTTCATGTAAGCTTTATGATCTATTTAAAAAAGATAGCCAAACGTACGCTAAAATCGAGATTATGAGGTTGTCAACGGGTCATTAGGATCCATCTGATGCTTTTTAGAAGTAGACGTATTTATATGACACTTTAATTTATTAAGTACATGACCTTATATGACGATTTCATAATAGTAGAAGATCTCATTTGACTATTTTCTCAAAAAATGGGGTGCAAAGTCAAACTTTCCCTATTTAGATATATAGAAAATTATTTGTAACATAAAATTAATATAAATATGTTCTTTGTTAGAAGTATTTCATGTTTAAAAGTAAAAAAGTTATAACTTTTACAATACTATACTAATTAAAATCATTAACTAAAGTCTTGGATTATCACTTGAAAAGCCAAGCACCATTGACAAATATCTATATATTTGTAATTTGCATAACGCAGAAAAAAGACATGATCAAAACTATAATAAGTCACAGCATGTATATGTATCTGTAATACTTCTCATTATCAAACAAACTGGTTTGTAGTATTTGTGTACTAAATAGAGATTACACATGTTGATAGCAACCTTGGCAACATTATCCTTTTATTCAAGATATAGGTTGGATAATTGCCAGATTCACTTTAGTCTACAAGTCAACTAGCTTATACAAATGTAGAAAAAAAGAAAAAGAAACTGAAGTGTTGTGACATGCACATGCAACTCCTTATTATTACTTATGTCTATTGTGTTTGAGGCTATATAATCTCTGATGAGTAGTGGTATGACCCTGCAAACCATCAAAGAGATAATGTTGACTATTTCATTACAATTGGTAATTAAAATATATACTCCCTCCGTCCCGTTCGTTTCTTCCAAGTTTGACTTGGCTCGCAAATTTAGAAAGTGGGAATAAAGTGGAAATGTATGATTGTAGTTGTGTAAGAAAAAGGTGAATGAATGTGAACAACATATTTTTTCCAAAAGTGAAAGTTGGAAGAATGAATTGGGACGACCCAAAAAGGAAAATTGAAAGAAATGACCGGGACGGACGGAGTAATATACTATAATATTAATAATAAATAAATAAGCATACCTTTCCACCAATCTCCTATGTTAGCATATGTTTCATCATTTGTATCATCAATCTTCGGACCTAGGCGGCGGCTTCTTGTTCTGACCATCACAAGGCATTTATTTTTGTAAGTACTTGAAATTAATAGAAATAAATCAAAGGCATTAACCTTTGAGATTTTGGACTTCAAGTTTAGAGTCCGTTTGGTTACCCAATTTTTCAACACTCCAGCCTTATTTGTCCATTTGTTTATCAATCAAATGCTAAACTTTTGATTTGCGGGATAAATTGTGCAGTAAACAACATGATCGAATAATATAATGTTAGACTTAATTTGCTAGCTAAATCTATATTGGTCGTAGGACTATCTTAGTTTGTTTCATATATTATTTTCATTAGTTCATTAAATAATATTTCCATTACTTCATTAATAAGATACAAATTATATTTGAAATTAAATATAAATTTTCATAATTTAACAAATTCAAGTGTCTGAATGTGTCATTGGTGTAGCATTTTTAAGAAAGCGTGGTACATACCTTGTTGGGAAAAACGATAATATCTTGGCCGCCGTAGTATATCGATGAGTCGTATGGCCATGGAGTTATTGTCCTTATATAGTCGTGATTTTCCTCTGGTCGAGATGTTCCTGGAAATTTAGGACCAAAACAAAATTTCTCACTACACTAATGCTTCCCCTATATACCAATTTATTTAAATACATTGGTAAAAAATGTTTTCAATAGCACACCACTATTTAATACTTCATCTGTTCCTATATAATGTGTGTCAAACAATCTCACTTTTTTAAAATGTGTGTAAAATGAATGGAGACCTTTGTATACTGACGGAGGGAGTATTAAGCCGTGTAAAGCAGTAAAGAGATAGACATGTGAAAAGACATAAATGACATTTCTCTCATTTTCTTTTGGTATCTTTTTCTTAATGTCAACACAATATCTACGTTTAGACACTCTTCTTGACACTGTGGATAAATTCACTTTTAATGATTTGAGGTGCACTATTTCATTCGGATGATTTTCGTCAATTACTTTTGGTCATTTACGAAACAGCCCTTTTCTTGCAATGAAGAAAAACCTTGATTTTTCACAAATGTGATCATGTTTTTATCCACTTTAAGGCATTTGCTTTACATACTTTACATATTTTGAGTCATTAGATCTTAGATACTATGCACCAGATTTGTTTTTCCACACACGTGTATATATGTGTGTCAGTGTGTGTATATTATCCCATGCTCCATTTTGAAAATACTTTTAGTACAAATATTAAGATAACTGATTCTATGTAATGAATTTTACAATTATACAATATACTTGAAAGAGTTAAAAAGAGTTATGACATTTAATGTGAAAATTTAATTCTTTCATTTGTGGAAAATGGTTTTGATAAATCAAGTTTCACTGGTCATAAAGTTAAACTTTCATGTATAATACTTATATAAGTGAGAACCAAAAATGTAACTGAAAACTAAATTTATATTTATTGGATTTCGGTAGAAAAAATGTCAACGTGGACTACGTATTTTTATAAATGATAAAAACACGACATTTATTTTGAGACAGACTCAAAAGGAAATAAGAATATATCCTTCTTTGGAAAGTTCTTTAATATATAGGGTATTACATTTTCATTTTTTTACCATTCAGGAGCATATTATATTTTTATTTTTAGACAACGTTAGCTTATATTTTCTCGTTTCCGCGCTTTACTGTTTTTTCCATTTTCCTTTATCTCTATCCTTACTCATTGGTAGATTAGAGTAGTTTTCACCAACCTGCTTGATTTACTGGAGTATGGCGATCTCTCAGCCGTCCCTAAACAAATGAAAATTAAAAACTAATTAATATAAGGCCAATTAAACAATTTAAATATTGCAACTAAACAATTCAAATATAAATAATCGATGAGATAATAAAAATGAATTGTATGTATCTTTATCCAAATAGGACCAAAACATTGATATTTCATAAATTGAAATATATATCAATGTTTTATTTCCAAAATAGAACTCATTTACTCCTATTTTGAAAAGTTTTACTCAAATTATTCTTTTAGTATAGGACTAAAGAAGTCAAGTTTGAAGAACAAAACATACAAGTACTACGTATTACTTCATCATATTTTTGTTTTGAATTTTGTGTATGTTTTGTTCTATATAGAATCAAAACATATACTAAGAAATGAAGAAAGGCACATTTTTCTTTAGATTTTCCATGTGTAAGCAATAATTAAAAGTGAATATATGTATATTACCGTGGAGGATGGACCAAACACAGAGTCAAAGTATGCTGCAGCTGATGAGACTGGTGGTGTGCGATTAGGTGAGGGACCAAAGACGCCGTCAAAGTATTCTCTGGCAGCTCTTTCCTGTGGGGTTTCCTCTGGTGTCGACGATCGCGGCGCTGTCTGCGGCGGCGCTGTCTGCGGCGGCGCTGTCTGCGGCGGCGATGAAGACCGTCGGGGAGGTGGGGTTGAAGACCGTCGGGGTAATGATGGGGAACGACCCCTTTCACCCCTGGGTGTTGATCTACCCTCCCTCTCCATTAATTAGCTGGCAATTAAGCTTGGATTATTGACACTAATTTTCTTGTTACTCTAATTACTATTGTCTCTAGAGTGGTAAGCTAGTTGGTGTTAGTTAATTCAGAAAACACAAGGATGGGTTGCTATTTATATATTTCTAAACCAGAAGAGAATATGGGAATCATGCACGATGTGATTAACTTAATTGTTGATAAGGATAATGTAACCCCAAGTAGCCAACACCAAGAAGGAACGTATCAAAAAAATACTCCCTCTTGCCACGACATACAGATTAAAAAATGGAAAATGTATGACCAATTTTTTTTTTTAAAATTTGTATAATTTTAAAACAATCAAACTTTATCAATTAAATATCAATCACATATACTCTTTTTTCTTTAGTGGTGTAGGATGAACTATTTCTCAAATTAGTGTGTGTCTTGACGGAAGGCGATTTGTGTGGTGGCTATATACAGAGCCTAAATGAGGTTGTGCAAACTGTTTTTTATAAATATATGTAGCATATATATATATAATTATATATAAGATAATACTCCATCCTTTTCTAAAACAAGTTCCACCTTTCCTTTTCAGGCAGATTATCTGCATTTCTTCATTTGGTAAATTATCTGATAAATTATCTACATCAAAACAGTGTCAAACAGTATTCAAACAGTGCCAAACAGTACGTGCACTCCACAGTAAAGTCAAATTTATTTTCTTAATATATGTAAAGTCAAATGTGGAACTTGTTTGTGAATCGGAGGGAGTAGTTATTTAGTACTTCGTATATAAATATATTAAGAACTTAAGAAACCATTTGGATTTTAGAAGTCATTAAATGAAAACGGCCCAGCGGCCCAACTGGAACAAATATGGATTTTTCATTCCATATTAAATGAAAAATAAATTAAATAACTTTGCCCAACTTCCCAACTTTCTTGAGTTTTTTCCGGGTACTTTCAAATCTTATTTTTCAAATACGGGTAGTTTTAAACTTATTTCCCGAACAGGGATGTTTTTTGCCTTGTCATCCGGCTGGACGAGTCATGTCAGTGAAACCTGATTATTTGCTGGATTTTTTGTCTTCATCCACTCTACCAATGCAATTAGTTGTTACTCTGTTGTTTTATTATATACTTATTAACTTCTTTGCTTAATATAACATCAATAAAGTTTACTATATTTTCAATATAAAAATAAAAAAAATTAATTATCCGAGTATTCATATTATCTTCTAAGAGGGATATTATGAATAACATAATCCGTATACAGTAGCATTCAAATTAGGCAAGTCTGACGAAAACCCCGTCCGGTCAACTTTATTTTGTACTGAAAATGTTGTTTACAATTCAATTTTTTTATTCGTTGGTAGCAACTATTACTTCCAATTGTTAGATCATAAAAATACTAAAATTTCCGATCGGGAAATCGATTAAATTAATTATTTAAAATAATTTCGCATTTATGTATGTATGTATATTACTAGTGAGACTAGTAATATAGGATCCAGCTAAAGTTTCATCAATGATTCTTAGCTAAAAATATGAAGTGAAATACCCATGAAAATAAAACACTAACCAGAACCTACAGAAGGGCCGGCAAAAGATTCCTTGACGTTGAGTAACTTTCTCAACGGAATACACATACATAAATGCGCAATTATTTTAAATAATTTATTTAATCGATTTCCCAACCGGAAAATTTTAGTGTTTTTATGATCTAACAATTCGAAGTAATAATTGATACCAAAGAATAAAAAATTGAATTGTAAACATCATTTTCGGTACAAAATAAAGTTGGGCGGACGCGGTTTCCGTCAGACTTGCCTAATTTGAATGCCATCGTATACGGAGTATGTTATTCATAATATCCCTCTTAGGGGATAATATGAATGCTCTATCTTATTTGATAAATAATTATTATTTTATTATTGTTATATTGAAAATATAGTAAATTTTATTGATGTTATATTAAGCACAGAAGTTAATAAGTACATAATAAAACAACAAAGTAACAACTAATTGCATTGATAGAGTGGATGAAGACAAAAAACCTAGCAAGGAGTGTTGGGGTTCTAATCCTACTAGCATCAAATTTTTTGATAATTAAAAAAACATGTGAGTGGGATGACGTGGCGAGCGGGTGACATGGGATCGCAAATAATCGGGTTTCGCTGACATGTCTCGTCCAGCGATTCCAACCGGATGACAAGGCAAACAACACACCTATTTGGGAAATAAGTTTAAAACTACCCTAGTTTGGGAAATACTAGATTCTCACCCGTGCGATGCACGGATGAAAATTTACCAATGTGTGATTAAGAACTCTATTATAAAAATGCAAGAATGATTAAACTCAGAAGAAAGTGATAAGTAATATAATAAGTGTTCGTAGTTAAAGAGAGATTAAAACATTGTCAAAGAAGGGAAAATATTAATATTATAAAAGAGATATAACATTTGAAAGTGCAGAATGGTAAGTAAAATAATAAATGTTCATAGTGAAACTACAAATTCTAAAAGACTTCTTTGTAAACAACATTAGTAGTATAATCGACCTCTTGATCATCCTCATCAAGATCAATATTTTTAACCCTTTGTGATTGGTAACTCTTGTGCCTGCAACGTAAAGTTGACCGTGTCTGAAGACTGGTTTTTAGTAAAAGTCCAACATGTGACAGAGATTGATCTTGATTCTTGTTTATAGTCATTGCATAAGAGTTCATTATTGGGAACTATCTTCTTTTTTTGGAAGCAATTTGGGAACTATCTTCTTTGAAACTTGAATGATATTCTTGCACGGGACATAAATAATGTAATTGTTATCTCTTTATTTGTTAATATTATCAGATTATTAATTCATGTATAAATGTATCCAAATAGTAATGACATAATCATCACCATCATCATTATCATTATTTCATTACTACAAAGGCTCTCACCTGCGGTGGAATAAGGAGTGTTGGATGCACGCAGCTTTATCCTTGTACTAAAACACAGAAAGATTGTTTCCGGATGACCATGGTGAAATCTTGTCGAAAATTGCAATGATGTAATATACATAATAAATTATATTTAAGAAAATAATAGTTAGGACTCATGCATTGCTAGTATATATGTTTTCTGACATTATATAAAAAAATAATCATATACTACGTAATAAACAATAATAATGAGAATTAATTTGGTCAAGTGCGCCTGAGCAAATGTCCCATACGGGCAAGCCCGTTTTAGATTATCTCCACAAAATTTTGGGTAGATAATCCACACTTCATCAAGAAAATGTTCACAAAATTTCATAAAAAACGATCGAGAAACACTTGACACGTGCTTGGCCGGGCAGGACTTCTCGTTTGTCCGGTCTGATGAGATAAGTTCTTTAATAATAATATCTTAATAATAATTTTGATAATAATAATAATAATATTAATAATATAAAAAATTTAAAGTATTGATGTTATCAGCTTAACTATTAACTAACTCAATAAAAATAATTTTTTTTTATCCCGGAAGGCAAACCACCAAAATCAGTGGGGCAAATGTCGGGGAACATTTGCCGGATTTTATTAAGAAAATTAGATGATACAAAAGGAGAGGGGGACTAGACCAAGACCTCTCCAAAAGAGGCATACCTCTTCAAAATACAAGCCAGGGAAGCAAAAGATATAAAAAAATTAAAATTTATTGGGGGGGCTAGACCAAACCCAATAAAATTACAATTAATAGTATCTAATAAAACTAAGCCCGAGTTTATCAGCGATAATAGATTTACGAAGATAATTTGGAACCTGATTAATATTGTTGAAAATAGTAAAAACATCAAGTTTTAATCTGGAAAATAAATGAGCTGGCCTGTTCGCCTCCCTCAGAATATGTCCGAAGGTCAGCCTTACGTTGTCCATCTCTCTTCTTCTCTCCTCCAAAAAATAGCGAGCATAGCCATTCCCTGCAAAAAAATCAATCGCACCACTACAATCCGATTCAATCTCCATCTCTTTAAACCCCTTCTTGAGCATCCATTCCACAGCTTCAAGGATAGCCCCAGTTTCTGCTTCCAAAGCCGACCTAGCAGAAATTGGAAAGTGAAGTGCGCAAATGAAGTCGCCTTCACCATTTCTCAAAATCGCACCGCCTGCAGCTCCATCGTCTCTATACGAGGCATCAACGTTCAGCTTATAGTTCAACTCAGGTATCTTCCACTTTACCACTCTAATTTTAGGTAGCGAGAACCGAGTAGTGTTAGGTATAAGAGCTTCCTCAAGAAGGACCTGATTATGGTCCCCTTTAAGTTTCAGTCTACTCAATTTTGCCATGTACCATTCTTGTGTGAAAAACCTAATATGTTGAATCACAGTGTGAGGGGTTGGAATGTTCTTCCGATCCCCCAAATTACCTGAGAATACATTTTCCAGATATGCCATGCGATAATACCTGGCATATTGTGTCTGAAAATGTCCATAAGACTCCTAGAACCCGCTTCCATCCACCAAGCAATGAAAATTTGTCTTACAGACATGGTATCCTGATAGTAAGGAATTTCAAGAATACCCATAAAATATTTCCAGATACACCTTGTATAGCTGCAATTATATAGAATATGATCCATATACCCATTATCCTGTTTACACATAGGGCACATTGAAGGATAAATATAGAGTCTGAATCTAGTCAAATTATCAGGAAAAGGCAGTATTCTATGAAGTAACTTCCATTGAAAATTTTGAATTTGACTCTTTTGCTGCTTATGCCAGGCATGCTTGAAGGAAAAAGTCACAGCTCCTTTTCTTCTAACAATCTGAAAAGCAGATGACAAGGTAAAGGTACCATTACTCTCTGGCAACCAGCACATTCCATTTGGTCCTTCCTTACTATTCTCCAACCCAATAGCATTAATATCACGAATACGTTTCCATATTGTAGAATCATATGATTCAGGAATCATATCAAGACCTCTAGGGTATCTGGAATGACAGAATTTAGCCCACAAAGAACTTTTGCATTTCCATTTCCACCATAATTTCAATGAACGTGCTTTCTGGACATCATGGATTGATCTGATCCCTAACCCTCCTTCTTCATTTAATAGACAAACTTTCTGCCAGTTGATCCAATGATATTTGTTTTTGTTATTTGCTGAGCCCCACAAAAAAGTAGCCATTTTCCTCTCTAAAATCTTAATCACACACTTAGGAAGAATATCAACTGCAAGTGTATGTTGAGGAATAGTATTTAAGACATATTTGATTAAAATAGCTCTCCCCCCATATTCAAACACTTTTGTTTCCAAGTAGTCAGCTTCTTATCAAAAGCCTAGATAATTCCTGAACAAAAATTAATTTTGTTTTTTCCTTTGTGTAGGGCTGCCCCCAGATATCTCATTGGTAGATTGATTTTGGTCATTTCCAATAATCTTTCCAGCTTTCTAATTCTGGCCAAAGAAGTTTTGCCACAGGTAAAATTACTTTTATTAAAGTTAATTGCCTGTCCTGATGCCCTTTGATATAACCCAAGGAATCTTTTAAAAACCTGAACTGACCTAGCCTCCCCATTTAAAAAAATGAGAATGTCATCTGCAAAGCATAAGTGAGAAATAGGCTGACCATATTGTCCAATCCAAAAGGGATTTATAGCATAAGAATCAATAAGAGCTTTAAACCCCCTAGAAAAGGCTTCTGAGGCAAGGATAAATAAAAAAGGTGAAAGTGGGTCACCTTGTTTAACTCCTCTGGAGGGTTTAAAAAACCTAGAAGGGGTGCCATTAATGAGCGCAGAGAAGTGTGTAGCTTTAAGATGATCCAATATTAATTTGATAAAGGACCCAGCAAAACCAAATTTAATCAAAATGGCTTCTAGAAAAACCCAGGACAATCTATCAAAGGCCTTGGCCATATCCAGTTTGACAACCAAATTAGTGCCCCTGACCTTCTTATCTAAGGCATTCACCATTTCTTGAGCCACTAAAATATGATCAGAAATGTCTCTTCATGTCATAAATCCAGCATGTTCCTCTGAAATGTGCTTTGGAAGAATAGCACTGAGTCTTGAGGCCAAAACTCTAGTACAAACCTTACTGATGAAATTTGATAGGCTGATAGGTCTAAAATCAGCAAAGGTAGAAACCTTATCCCCTTTAGGAATCAACACAATAAGAGTACAAGCCATAGCTTTAGGAATGTGGTTCCCAATGAAAAAATCCTGGACTGCCCTAACCACATCCATACCAACAATATCCCAACAAGTTCTAAAAAACTCCATTATATCCATCTGGACCAGAAGCACCATCTTTGTTTAGACTCCATACTGCTTGTTTAATTTCCTCCATTAATGGGATCTGCATCAGCATATCATTATCATTGTCATTTACTAACTTAGGAACATACTGCAATAGTTCATCAACATCCTCCACTGATTCTTTTGCAAAAATTCCAGAAAAGTAGTCCTCAGCAGCTTTAGCAATAGATTCATGGTCATTGCACAGATTACCAGAAGAATCTTTAATAGAAGATAAGTGTTGAATTCTTCTTTTGATATTGACATATGAATGAAAGAAATGGGTGTTAGCATCCCCTTCTTTCATCCATTTAATACGGGCTCTTTGTTTCCAGAATTCCTTTTCTTGATTATGTCTAACCATAAGCATGGATTGATAAAAGGACCAATTTTCTCTATTATCTGGAGTGGGGTCAGATTCATATAGGGTCTCTGCTTTTTGTACCTCCTCTTCTAGCTTAGCTAAGTCATGAAAGATGTTGCCAAAAGAAGCTTTATTCCACTCCTTCGGAGCTTTCTTTAAGAATTGTAGCTTGTCATATAAACCCCTCATACCACCCCCAGATTTACAATCATTCCAAGCTTTTTTGACAACATCCAAAAATTCAGGATTAGAGACCCACATATTCTGAAATCTAAAGGATCTTGGCCTTTTAACTGATTGATTATTGCCTTGTATCATGATAGGAGAGTGATCTGAAGAAGTTTTATTTAGGTGATTGATTTGAATAGTATCAAACATGTCAACAAAGGAGAAGTTTACCAAAATTCTATCCAGCCTGCGCCAAACTCTTCCAGAAGTTCTAACTCCAGTCCAAGTGTATGGACTCCCATGAAAAGGTAATTCCAAAAATTCACAGTTCATAATACAATCTCTAAATTCATTCATACTGATCATTGGGGGAGAGAAAAGACCTTTATGTTCCCCTGGGGTGGTTATAGCATTAAAATCTCCACCAACCATCCAAGGTTCATGATTAGAAGCAGCCCAATCTTCAAGAAATGACCAAAGCAATCTTCTATAAATGTAACTATGAGCACCATAAATTGCTGTAAACCAATATGAAATAGAGGCAGAAGAGACTTTCATATGAGTGAACTGTTCACCAGTGGTAATATTAGATATATCCACACAAGAAGAATCCCATAAAAGCCAAATCTTGTTATCTTTACAACAATAATAACTGCTCATACCCAATTCCAAAGCAAAGGATGAAATTCTAGAATAAGAAATGATAGGTTCCATAATAGCTACTAAATGAACTTTTCACTGTCTAATTAATTGTCTTAGCCTTGGACAGGAGGAACCAAGGCCACGGATATTCCAAATCAGACAATTCATTTAAAAGGGGAGGGAAAGCTATAGACAGCTGTTTAGCTGTAAATCTAGTGAGTCTGGGGGTGTCAGGGACCACTTGCATAGGTTGTCTTTTTTTCCTCCTTGCCACTTTAATGAAACCATCCTCGTCTTTAAGAGAATCAACTTTTGATATATCTGCAGTCTTGCTTCTTTTCTTTATCATTGCTGCAACTTTTCTGGTAAGACTATCCTGTCCCTATTTCCATTTGCATAAATTATCAGGTGAACACCAATCACCATCAGAAGAATAACCTTTAGCACACAATGCAGGATCATATTGATTCCTCTGTTGGATCTTCAAAAGCTGGTAATCATCTACAGCTACCTCAGAAGTAAGTAATCTGGCTGCTCTGTTAAGGACAGAGATCTCCTCTGGTCCCTCATCCTTAGGGACATGCTGGGGTATTATTGGAGCCAGGATCTCTTCCTCACCTTTAGAACCAATCTCTTCAGAAGGAATATTAGATGCTGATGGAATGTCTAAAGCATTAGTAGTAGCTGTAATATGTTGAGTGACTTTAGCCTGTTTCATGTCAATCATTATCCCCTTCCCAAAATCCCCTTCTGTAATTAAGGGTTGAGCTGTCTTCTTAGTCTGCTGTTTGATGGGTTTAGCAACCCATTTTTCTATGGATACTTCTGGAACAGTAACCCCTTTGGAGGGAAGCATCTCCATAGGATTTTTAGGGCAAGAGGCCCCAGAACGACCAAGGTGAAAGCATTTAGAACAATATAATGGCCTATTCTCATAAATGACCTGTTGTGAGAATCCTTGTGATCCACACTGGATCCAAATTTTATTGGGCATCTCCCCAGTGAGATCAAGCTCAACACACACCCTTGCCAAGGATGGCCTTGAAAGAGATGCAGTAGCAGCATCAATTTTAAGGGGTCTACCAATCATTCCCGCAATATCAAAAAGAGCCCGTTTATCGTGCAAATGTATGGGTAGATTTTCAAAACATAACCAAATTGGAACAATAGGAGATTCCACATTAGGTCTAAAATCTGGAGTCCATTTAGTAACGCGCATGGCACTACCAAAAATATCCCAAACTTGACGATTCCACAAACGAATATAATCTTCTTCTAAATCAAATCGAATCAAAATGTGTTTTTTTTCAAGAGTCCCAACTGAAATTTACCTTTGAATCCAATCAATTCAAAGGCTTTACGCAATGAAGTCATTGGAGGCCTACCAGAGAAAAAATACCCTATCAAATCCCTTCTATGTTTTGATGCAAGCAATTGGATTTCCTCATCCGGAAACGTGATTGTCGGCATCCCCTTGAACCGCGACAATTGTTTCTTTGATAGGGGAAGATCGGATGATTCACCAACAACCACCGAAGCAAAAGAACGCCCAGACCAAGCATGATTGGCCGGAGGGGGAGGCGCCGCCCCCTCTGCCACCGCAGGGGTGCTCGTAGAAACACTGGAACTAGGTTATCGCCAGTCTAGAGAGAGAGACTCTTCCTCCTTGTGCATTAAAAAAAATATTTAATTATAATATATTATGTAGTAACAACTATCACAGTGGGTTAGGCCAATGGATATTCTTAAATGAGACGAACTTCACATTATACGGCCTATTCTACATCTGACCCAATCCAAAACTAAATTAGATGCTACCCAACAATCTAAACCTAGCTCACCCTATATAAACACCTTTACCTTTCGGCCATACCATTTACACTTCAGCCTCCCACGCAGACCATCAGTTCTTTTATACGTAATTCAGCCTCCTTCACAAACCATCGGTTGCTCAACCTTCGGCCTCTAGCTATGGTTCCATTCAGATTCTCATCATTCTTCTCCATGCATGCTACATTCAGCGTCGTCTCAAAATGAGATCATCTAACAATCTGATTACAGCTCAAGGTGAAATTATATTTTTTACCCGATGTTGACATTTTTCCGACCTTTGCTATAGCTACAGCGACAGAGTGCTTATCAAAGGATCTCAGAACTCTTCTTTCTTCACTCTGGTATATCCTATACTATTACTATGTCTATATTACTTTTTCTATACATGCGGTTCTGTATGATTTTTCTTTAAAAAAATATTTATTTTACCAAATATTTATATGGTTTCAAAATAAGAGAATCTGTCATGAGATAAACTTACTAAATCTACATATTTTTATAACTCCTATAGACATATGTTCAAATCTATCATTTAGGTGCACATATCTACAAAAAGGATAATGCTTTATGCCTATATTGTGTAACTTACCAAACTTGCTGCTAAAGAATAATGGTTTCATTTGTTCCTTGTTTCCTGCACATATCCAAATTTCTTTCAGCGTCTATAAAAAATTTATTTTAAACATCCTTCTAAAAGTTAGATGTGTTTGGTTTTCATTTACAAACCGATAAAATGATAATTTTTTTAAAAAAAGGGTTTACTACTTTTAACATGAATCTGTTGGAAGTTATATATAGATCAAATATGATGATGCTAAATTAATTTTTATGAGAATAGTATAGTTTAAGGCATTAATGTTTTAATGATTTTCAAATGTCTTTAAAAAGTTCATAAAATACAACACATATAGCTAAAAGTTTTATACAGAGTAATATTGTAATTAACATTTTCTTATTCTGGCATTTTAGTAGGTTATCGTGTATAGAAAATGTAATTAACATTAGGCATTTTTTTTATAAATCTTGCAGGTTTCGTTGGACTCCTTAATGTCTTGTTCTTATTTTTAGCTATTAGATTATCGGTATAGAAAATGTATAATTAATAGGTTCTGGAACCATAAAAAAGGTTGCCAATTATGTATTATTCATACGGAAAATTTTAATTATCAATTAGATTGAAATTAGTTATGCATGTTTGAAGTTTGTGCAGCTTCAAAGGCAGGTATCAATAGCACCATTGATATGATATCACTTTATTATACTAAGCATCAAATGAACAAAGATATTTTATTAGGCTTACATATCCTTGTTCTACATTTCTTTAGGAAGGTGGAGTTTCTTCCCCAATTGGCCCTAAATTACTCTTTCTACTCTTCGATTGTTATCTTCAACTTCTTTAAACGTCCATAACAACTAAAAAGAAACTGCATAATCATACATGGTAGAAAATTGTAGTAGAGTGGGAAAGAACACCTTTTTCTCTTTCAAAACCATCTCGGTTTTCAACTTCTTTAGACATATAATATGCCCTTGCACCTTTAACTTTGACATTGTTTGTTGATTTTTTGTAATCCACGTCCTTGATGAGAGACCCACATGTTAGTATATATGTCCTAGTGACAATCACTTTTTAGAGATATATGTACTTGATCACATTCAGTTTTATATATTTGATATATACGGTATTACACATTCATAATTAAGCATTTCGATTGTCAATGTCTTATTCATAATTGTGTTCCCTTGGACTTATGTTGTCGATAAGTAAGTGAGAGCTTATATACATAAGGTCCTAAAAAGGCCCCAATCAATGATCATCAAGAATGGGATATTGATGATATGCGATAAGATTGGTATGTGGACTGCATCATACTTTTAGAAAGTATAGTTGATCTCACGACTATGAGTTCCTGTAATTCATGATGGTCACATAGATATTTTAGAGAATATTGGCATACCCACCGAGAAACCACTTGATAAGTTCTATTCATGTGTCTATGGGATTATCGGCGTATAGAGTAGTGTAATAGTCCTCCGACTTGAGGTCAATACGTACTACATGTGCGGAGTGATGTACTTTGACCATGACCAACGCTTGCACTCCAATCGGGGTAGATACGGCATGTGTTGGGTGCATCACGAAGCACATGGAGTCGTAGTTGAGCCAAGAAAGGATTCATTCCTCATAATAGATTAAGAGAGAACATTCTACTTCTCATATCTAGATGGATCATAAAGTCATTGGCCAATGCAAAGATATATTCGTTTTGGATATCGAATATGATCGTTATGGATCATCTAGAAAGATTGAGAGACAGAGACTGAGTTATTGGGATAGACACTATATCATGTTCTAGACTTAGTTGAATGTTCGCTGAATGAAAGGACCGTATCACTATGAGCTCTATATTACAGGGAGTTTGTATAGTCCTCGCAAACGTCCTTATATATTAAGTTTGTCTGGAGAATCGTCTAGGGATTCGCTAAGACCTTAATTTGATTAGTGCTTAATATATAAGGCCCTATGGGTCACACAACAAGTGATTATACCTTCCGATTGAATTGTTAGAATGAATTAAATATTATTAATTGGATTAAATAATATTTAATTCGTAATACTGAAAATGAATTAAATATTAATTAGATTAAACATATTTAATTCATGAAGCTGAAGGAGAGTTCTATTTGATAGAATTAATTAAGTAAGATAAATTAGATTTATCATACTTAATTAAGATGTATTTATTATTAAATAAAGTAGATATTTTCTTTTGTAATTTGGAATTAAAAGAAAAGTAAACAAAATAAATATTAATATATAATAATTAGAAAGTGGCGTGCAGCCACATCTCAATTATTATTATTATTATTTTGTTTTGGTTTATCTACTTATTTAATTAATTAGGAGTATTGGTCCTAGTAGGATTAGAACTCATTAATTAGAAAGACTTTCATTGTGATTGGGAAACTAGTTTCGAACTAGTATAAATACATCCTTCTCCTTCATAGTTTGTAGACCAGTTTTTAGATTCAGTATTACCAGTTTATTTCCCCGCAAAGAGATTTCCTAGCCTTTCTCTTAGGGAGATCTATCCGTTCTTTCGGAAAGGAGAAATCACGTGGATACCAAAGGTCAAGAATTATCACCGCTAGACTGGAAGATCTGTAAGTTCTAACTCAGATCTTTTATTATTGTTATATTCGTTGTTTTGTCATAATCAGGGAAGATCTGTTTGGGAAAATTTTAAACTTCCGCTGCCGTACTTTCGAGGTACGTTACATCAATTTCCTAACAGTGGTATCAGAGCCAAACTGATTCTAATGACATTACACGAATTTTGTAGATATACAGACTATCTATTTTCGTGGATCTAAATACATTATTCTCAGATTATGTTTCCGATCAATGATTGTTTTTCGAAGTAATTATATTTTGATTTTAGAAATTGAAATATGAATTGTAATTGAACTGGACGACAGTCTTTTCGGATCTACAATTTGTTGTCTCTACGTTTTGAACGATCAACCATGACGACCGACCTTCAATCGATTTTCTATGCGTTTTTTTTTTCTGTCCTTGCAAAACATGGCCGCCATTAATGGCGATTAAAATTCTGCAAAATCGTTCTCTATGTTTGGAGCGCCTCCAGACGAGATTCGAACGGGAATGTAAAGACCAATCGACCTCTTGCTTAGTCATCGCCGTTCTAGTTGCACCGAAACCACCACGGACATCGACGGTGAGGATAAGCGATGGGGCTGCAGGTTAACAACGATTCCACTACGAAGCCTTGCAGCTGCGATTTGTTTTTGGTTTATGGGCTTACTTTAGAAGTTAGAATAAAATCAAGGACCCACTACAATTTAATTAAAGTCCTAAACTTTGGCAATTGTGCACTAATTCATACGGAGCACTAATCTAGGCCGTATATACAGAGTCTAATTCCATTAGATGTGGAAGTTGTGAAAGTCCTGATTCTAATGTAACTTGGTTTTCTATATACGTAGTTAAACACTACGTATCAAAATTAATCTTAATTGCTTTGATTAGTTATCTAATAGACATAAGTAAGTTTAATTTTATCTAACTACGTATTGTTGTTTTTTAAGCATGCTTATACTTTAATTGTTTGACTGTTTAATATATTTATAAATTAGATTTATATTGCATGCTTTAATTTATCTGTTTGAGTTAAATCTCATCAACATATTATTTGATAATATGTTTAGGCATCTTGATTAAATAATTTTATACTCCGCTAAACGTTCCCCATAAATTAAAATTTAAGTCTTATCCGGGATAATGACATCACCCATCATAATTAAATTAGTAGAAATATTTTTTCGTTGAAGAATATTTCACCCAAGTATTTATTCCATTCGACAAAATATAGAACTAATTTATAGGTACAATTGTTTGTGATCGTGTGATGGTTTTGACTTACTTAAATTAGCTCGAGTCGCCCAAGCGTCAGTGTTAATTTAGGGATGTCGATCAATTTAAAAAAAAAAAAAATTGATCAACCGAGAATTGCTTGGACGCAATTGGTCTAGGGACCTACCCATTATATTATTGCAGTGATCAGCCCAAGCTGGGACTGTAATAGTATGAATGTGGATCTTGGCCACTATGATTGTGAAAACAATCCATGTTCTTTTTTATTGGGGTCAAAGAGCATGTAAAAATAGTGGGAGCTAAATAATTAAAAGTCCATATTATTTAGTTAACTAGATGTGATCATAGGAATTAATATATGATTTTAATTTCATTCTATTTGAACTTCTTTAGACTTTTAGGAATGTCGAATTTATCATTGAGAAGTATCCTGGATACATGCAAGCTTACTGGACCAAACTTTCTTGACTGGGAAAGAAATGTGCGTTTAGTTCTTAGACAAGAAAATATTGAGTATGTGTTAGACACACCGGTACCCAAGATTCCTGATGCCAACTCTCCTGAGTTTGCCACGTTTGACCTAACTGCTCGAGAGAAACACGTCACTAATGCTAAAACTGTGCAATGTGTTATGTTGGCTGCAATGTCTATGGAGTTGCAAAGGCAACACGATAGGATGAGCGCCTTCGAGATGCTTGAACACTTGAAAAGTCTGTTTGATTCAGAAAGTCAGACTCTAGAGTATGAACTTCTGACAGACATTTTCAAGTGTAGGCTTCAAGAGGGTGGCAACGTGTCTGAGCACGTCCTCAAAATGATTGGCTTAATTGAAAGAGTTGCTACCACCGGAATTAAGTTTGAGGATCGTGTCTCAGCTGCTATCATCCTATATTCGCTTCCGAGTTCATTTACTAACTTCATTGTGAATTATAATTTGAACAAAACGAAAGCGACCATGCCTGAACTCCATAACATGCTCAAGTCTTATGAAGTCTCAACCTCTAAAGGAAAGACTGTTCTTATGGTAAGCTCTAATGCTAAGTCTCGTTCTAAGAACAAGAATAAGCAAAAGAAGAAAGGTAAGGTTGGACCTACTCCTACAGCTCTGAAGCCTAAAGGTGGAGGTCATATGAAGCCAAAGGTTGCAAAGGATGTTTGCCTCTACTGCAAAGAGAAGGGGCATTGGAAGAGAGATTGTGAGTTGTATAAGGCTAATCTAGCCAAAGCACCGGGTGCTTCAAGCTCAGGTATTTTTATCATTAAATAAATATGTCTATAACTAACTCTCATTGTTAAAGTATTAGATACAACTTATGGCTTACACATTTGTAAAAATGTGCAGAAGCCTGAGAAGCAGTGTAGCAGTTGGACTGGGTAAAATTGACCTACGCGTGAAGGTTGGAGCAAAAGTTGCTGCTGAACGTGATAGGACCTTATAGTTTAGATTTGCCCAGTGGTTTTAGATTAGAATTAAATAATTGTTATTTTATTCCTTCTACTACCAAGAAGATTATTTCCATTCATATGTTAGACATTAAAAGATTTATGTTTCCATTTTGCTAATAATAATTGTTATTTTCATAAAATGGTGTAGTTGTGAAAATGCTTTTCTTATGAATGATTAATATTCAATCGACATATTAGATATTAAATGGATAAAATAAAAGGATCTCGATTAAGTAATCAGAAAATTACTACCTATCTATGACATTGCAAACTTGGTCAAATTAATGAAACAAGAATAGCAACGTTAAATGAATTAGATTATTTAACACCATTTGTTTTTGAGTCATATGGAAATTGCGAATCTTGTCTTTCAAGCAACTTGACTAATAATCCTTTTCTAGGAAAAAGGATAGCAAGCCAAAGAGTACTTAAGTAAAATTTCTGATTTATTTAAAAGGTCAAAGAATTCGGTCATAATGAACTCCTCCAGAACACCTTAGAAGACTGGCGTTTCTGTAAGGAGAAATAGGGCTTTGTTAGACGTGGCTAGATCTATGATGAATTCGTTTTCTCTTCCAAACATTCTTTTGAGGGTACACGCTATAAATCTCAACATACATTCTAAATAGTTTGATTAGTGCAAAATGTACTATATGAGTTATAGTATAATAAAAGACATTTTCTTCACATATTAAATATGGGTTGCCCTACAACTGTAAAGAAATGTGCACTAATCAAATTGAAAGCTGAAGTAACATAGAGAATGAAGATTTGTTAGATTGTCTAATGAAGGATTCAATGGGAGAATTAAGTTGAAGAATGTCTCTAGGAGGATATCCTTCAACTAGTGGGAGTAATATAGGAAGCGCTTCGCACTAGCAAGTGATTCTTATGAAGAAAGTAATGACATGGTTGTCATTCCTTCTGCACCTAACTCTCCCTCTCTGAGTATAGCACCAGAAAACTCTCTAAGCATCGGATAGTCCAATGAAAGAGAACCTCTTCACGATCAGAATGAACAGCCTGAACAAAACGCAAAACATTTAATTATGTGGGTCTACTAGGACCCGTCATGAACTAACTAGGTTTGGCTTCCTCATGGAGGATCATGATGATGTTAAGATTCCTGATACGGATGAACCTGAGACCCACATAGAAGCAATATTTGATGTTGATTCATAGAGGTGGCGAGAAGCCATAAAATCTAAAATGGACTCGATCTGTATCAATCAAGTATGGAACTTGGTTGACTTGCCTGTTGGGTTAGACCCATTGGATGCAAAATGATTTTCAAGGAGAAAATTAATGCTGAAGGCAAGGTGAAAACATACAAAGCTAGGCTAGTGACTAAAGGTTATATTCAAAGAAAAGGAATTGACTATAGTGATACCTATTCGCCAATTGCAAAACTCAAGTCCATTTGGATTTTGCTTGTTATAGCTGCTCAGTATGATAATGTGATTTGACAAATGGATGTCAACACCCCTTTCCTTTATGGAAACCTCAAGGAGGAGGTGTACATGGTACAACCTGAAGGTTTTATATCCATACCAAATTCTAATTCAATATGTTAATTTGAGAAATCTAATTATGGGCTAGAACAAGCATCTAGGAGTTGAAATATCATTGTTTAGAGTGCGCAACAAGGATAGCGTGGTCTTTATAATCATATATGTTGATCATAGAGAATGATATCCCCTCATTGAAGTCAATGAAAGAATGGTCACCCAAAATCTTCATGAATATCTTTTGTCTATGGTAGACAGAGAGAACTAGTAGAATTTAATTATTCTAGCACTAGTTTCATGTATGATAAGAAAGACTACGAGTCACAGTCAGTATACGTTTTTAGTCTCAATGTAATAGTAATGCTAGTAAATTTGACAACTAGAGCCTAGTAAATTGTTGCATTTGATGCAACATAGGTAAGCGTTTAGATACGTTAGTTCCTTAAAGAAATAAGGGTAGTTCCTAGCGACAGTTATCCAATAATTGTTATTGTGACTGTACCGGTGCATTTGCACAAGCTAAGGAACTAAGATGCAAACTAAGGAACTAAAAATTACCAGTATGCTATCATGTTTTTATAACAAATAGCAAGATGAGAAGTTGCAATAGAATGCCTTCCCGTAGAGGACAATTTAGCTGGCCCTTTCACCAAACCTTTAAGATTCGAGAAACACACTAAACTTTTGAGAGTCTAGGTGTTAGACGCATCGGTGATTGGCACTAGGCCAAGTGGGAGATTGTTAGTATATATGTCCTAGCGACAATCACTTTTTAGAGATATATGTACTTGATCACATTCAGTTTTATATATTTGATATATACGGTATTACACATTCATGATTAAGCATTTCGATTGTCAATGTCTTATTCATAATTGTGTTCCCTTGGACTTATGTTGTCAATAAGTAAGTGAGAGCTTATATGATAAAACATAAGGTCCTAAAAAGGCCCCAATCAATGATCATCAAAAATGGGATATTGATGATATGCGATAAGATTGGTATGTGGACTGCATCATACTTTTAGAAAGTATAGTTGATCTCACGACTATGAGTTCCTGTAATTCATGATGGTCACATAGATATTTTAGAGAATATTGGCATACCCACCGAGAAACCATTTGATAAGTTCTATTCATGTGTCTATGGGATTATCGGCGTATAGAGTAGTGTAATAGTCCTCCGACTTGAGGTCAATACGTACTACATGTGTGGAGTGATGTACTTTGACCATGACCAACGCTTGCACTCCAATCGGGGTAGATACGGCATGTGTTGGGTGCATCACGAAGCACATGGAGTCGTAGTTGAGCCAAGAAAGGATTCATTCCTCATAATAGATTAAGAGAGAACATTCTACTTCTCATATCTAGATGGATCATAAAGTCATTGGCCAATGCAAAGATATATTCGTTTTGGATATCGAATATGATCGTTATGGATCATCTAGAAAGATTGAGAGACAGAGACTGAGTTATTGGGATAGACACTATATCATGTTCTAGACTTAGTTGAATGTTCGCTGAATGAAAGGACCGTATCACTATGAGCTCTATATTACAGGGAGTTTGTATAGTCCTCGCAAACGTCCTTATATATTAAGTTTGTCTGGAGAATCGTCTAGGGATTCGCTAAGACCTTAATTTGATTAGTGCTTAATATATAAGGCCCTATGGGTCACACAACAAGTGATTATACCTTCCGATTGAATTGTTAGAATGAATTAAATATTATTAATTGGATTAAATAATATTTAATTCGTAATACTGAAAATGAATTAAATATTAATTAGATTAAACATATTTAATTCATGAAGCTGAAGGAGAGTTCTATTTGATAGAATTAATTAATTAAGATAAATTAGATTTATCATACTTAATTAAGATGTATTTATTATTAAATAAAGTAGATATTTTCTTTTGTAATTTGGAATTAAAAGAAAAGTAAACAAAATAAATATTAATATATAATAATTAGAAAGTGGCGTGCAGCCACATCTCAATTATTATTATTATTATTATTTTGTTTTGTTTTATCTACTTATTTAATTAATTAGGAGTATTGGTCCTAGTAGGATTAGAACTCATTAATTAGAAAGACTTTCATTGTGATTGGGAAACTAGTTTCGAACTAGTATAAATACATCCTTCTCCTTCATAATTTGTAGACCAGTTTTTAGATTCAGTATTACCAGTTTATTTCCCCGCAAAGAGATTTCCTAACCTTTCTCTTAGGGAGATCTATCTGTTCTTTCGGAAAGGAGAAATCACGTGGATACCAAAGGTCAAGGATTATCACCGCTAGACTGGAAGATCTGTAAGTTCTAACTCAGATCTTTTATTATTGTTATATTCGTTGTTTTGTCATAATCAGGGAAGATCTGTTTGGGAAAATTTTAAACTTCCGCTGCCGTACTTTCGAGGTACGTTACATCAATTTCCTAACACCACAATCATGATATGGTGTTGAAGCTACAAAATACATCATATTTATAGTCATATAAAGGAGTATGTATCTGTGTACTAACTTATCACAGCTAGCAGCGAGCCAGCGAGTTGTTTGCATGTACATCACAATCTTTCTTTTACAATGCATTACCTAGAATTAAATTTTGGAATTGCTTGTTTGTGATGTGCTTGGACAACCCACCGCTTGGGTATTTATATTGGCAGATGAGAGTCTCATATCTTGCTATTGGGTATTAACCAATGGTAAAATATATTACTCAATCTTTATTGAGATGTTGTAGTACAAATATTTAATGATTGTGTGGCTCAAGGATAACATTCAATGTTTGTGTGGCTCGAGGTACCTTTTCATTGATTAGCTCACTTTTCGAAATTGAGGAATAATTAACAGCAAACATATTATCTTTATTGAGCCATTCAATTTGTTTCTTGAGCCACACAAAATGAAGCATTGGACATTGAACCTCCATTAAATGAAAGCTGCAATCCACAGAATCTGTCACCCGATCCGTCGCTGCACCCATCGGAACCAGACCCAATCCATTACTGTACAGTGTTTGGGCGGGAACACTGTACAGTTTTTCTCTTGGTTTTGTATAATAGAAGATGATTGGAAATTACCCCTCCTTAGGAAAAAAACTCCATTTTTCCCGTATTGCACTAAAGCTAGAATGGTAGATCCTATTCTCCGCTCCTCACATTCACAAGTTAGAGTTTTATAAAATTCTAAGTTATATTTTTCAAAACAGATTACTTAATTTGCCTGAGCTATTCAACTATAAACTATCCAAGTCATCAAACATTCAAACGTAACCAAAGGTAGTAAAATCAGTTACCTTTTCTTATCGGATTTCTTAATTTATAATTTTGATACGCTTTTCATTATTTTATAATTCTTTTTTTTTCAACGGTATAATATATTTCTTTTAGTGACTTTATGTACTTTTATTGTGATTGTGATCCCTTTTTAGGGATATATTTAAGGGTTGATTTGTGGTATTTTTTGTGCATTTATTAAATATAAAGCCTAATTTCCGTTCAAAAATATATATATAAAGCATCATTTGTGTGATTTGCACCGGGCCTCCTAATTTATAAAGTCGGTCCAGGGTATATACTGTGCTTATATATCCTCAAGTTGATGATCTAATACTAGGTATTAGGTTAATCAAGATTTTGGT